ATATCTTTCTTATTGTTGACAATGAGCGCACTTTAAAAGTTCTAGACCCAATAATCAGACATTTTGCTCTCCACTTATACTCTCTTGGCCCCATATACTTAGCTTTATCTGGTATACATGTGCCTTTCGCTATTGTCAACACTAGTAGACAGGCATAAAGAAAACCAGATCCTCTTATTTAACTGCTTTTGCTCGTAAAACACTCGCATTTCCAGATTTCATTTCACTGGCACGAAAGCTAACCAATGACAGAGAGGCCCCTGTCACACTGGCTGGCTGGAGCACCAGAAACTTTCCATCACCACTTTTCTTATCTTGGCCGTCCGTGTGTCATTTCTCTTTTAGCTGGCTCCAAAGCCTACCATGCGCTATGCGTAATGGCGGGTGAACGACCAGCTCCCACTGGTTTTTGTTACTATTCTACTCCTGATTTACCTTATCGCTCTTTGCTTAGGGTGCTAGAACAGCTCTTGCCAAGAAAATCACAAAAGAAATAGTCGGTGTGACATTAGAGTACCAGTTAACATTGCCAACTGGATGAACACCGCCGGCACTATCTTCGGAACTTAAAAATGGAGAGAAATAAAGCGAAATTCATCAAAGAGCTGCACCATAGTGTGCATCTACACATGAGGCACAACAATACCTCAAGTATGAGCAAGCTCAACCACCAGAAGTAGAGTTGTTAAAGCCCAACCAATGTAGACCAAAGCGAATTTCACGCCCAAATGCAATTAGCTAAATTTCACTAAAATTTCCCATCCTTATTTCTTTATTATTGGTGGCAGGCTCCTATAGCTCACTGACGTTAGAGACAGAGCCTCATGAATATAGAAAATCGGCTCTAAGGGATAAATCTTGTGATGTTTAGCTAAGTAATGTGTGTCTTTTGTAGGCCGAAATCTGTCAACGGATCTGAAAGATCCCCTGGGTTACTCAGGTAGACCTGGCTCATGCGGGCTTGTTGTAAGCTTTAGAAAAGCTTAGAGGCTTAAAAAATGCTAAACTCTATTTTACTGGTTGTTTATGTGGCTCAGTATCCACTGAAAATGGTATGCTGTGGCCCTCTAGCCGTGAGTTAATTACACACTCCCCTGAATTCCCATGTAGATATAATATTCCTTGCTGGATTTCTAGCGTTTTCGAGGAAAATCATCCCTTATTTGCATATATTTGTCATGTATGCCTGCAAAGTTTACTTTTCGGCCACCTGCGCAGTCCGTAGTTGTCGCAGCGTATTACGGGCTAATTAAAGCATTACTGGATAGCTATGCCTATCTAGAACATACGCCGCTTCCCTACTTTTTATATTTTCTTTTCTTTTTTCTGCTATCTGCTTGCAAAGCAGAAAGCCATTTTTAGCGAAAAATAAAAATGGCCTTATTCGTAGACCATCATTTAATTGCGAATAACTCGCAAACTATTGCACGTATTGTGTTGCTTTTACGTTCAACGTATTCAGGCGCTAAAGCTGGTCCAGACTAGTGTAATTTTGTGCCACTTTAAGCGGTATTCTAACTGTAGAAAGGCTTTTTCTTTTATCTGAGAATAACTCAGGTTGAAATTTTGCGCCGGAGAGCAATATCAGCGTATGAAAAGTAGGGCTATATTTTTTGTTAATTGGTATTTTTCGACTGAAACACGCAGCTTTATTTTCTCTCTTAACAAATTGTTTCTATTTTTGTCCGCATTTATCGGAATTGTTTTCAACTTTTCGTATGACTTATAATCCCTTCACTCGTTTCTTCCATGTGCGCACAATTGGGGCAACTGAGTGGCCAATTAATGTGCGATCAATTTAAAGTGCACTTCGGCGAATTGGATTCTGTTCCAAGGAGAAAAGGCACAACTACACCTCCGCGAAGTTTTCACAAAAGAACAAGGAGTTCAATATCACCCGCAGGAACCAGAAACATGTCAAGGTGGGCGCCTGCGACCCAGTAGCTGTATATCAAACAACGCCAATGCATTTGTAACTGCTGACGATGAACATATACTTATATTTTACCTACTTCCGTGCAAGAGCATCGGATTTATGTAAGCATTGATCTGAACCCTTTAGGGTGCAGCCTCTAGCAAGTCTAGAAATATACCTATTTATTTATTTATTTATTTATTTAAACCCACTTCGATAGATGATTCTTTTCTTCGGGAAATGTGGTTGCAACGACTTCCGCGCGAGATGCTACACATCTTCTGCGCTAGTGAGGATGCACCTTTATCCAAACTGGCCGATACAGCCGACCGAATTTTGAAGTCGTACGGCAAGGTTTCGCAGGTCCAGACGAAACCGGAGGACGATATTGCCAGGCTTAATTCCCAGATGGCAACAATGACTCGACAATTCGCAGATTTTCGGCCGCACATAACCGCTGTAAATGTTCTAGGAGCCGTTCGCGTTCCCGTTCGAACTCTCCTTCGCGATCACCGAATAGAAACGGTTACTGCTGGTACCACGAACGATTCGGCCAGCAAGCTAAATCATGTCGCCCGCCCTGTTCCTTCAAACTACAGCAGCGGGGAAACAGGCGGACTAGCACGTAGGGGCGACAGACGTAGTTGCTCAACGCAATCGCCTTTTCTTCGTCACCGATCGTAGAACTGGAGTTCGCTATCTCGTCGATACTGGCGCAGAAGTCAGCGTTCTCCCGCGTGATCCAAACGACCCGACCAAAAAGTGACTAGCACATTGCGCGCAGTTAACAGGACCATTATCCGCGTATATGGTCAACGCTCGCACACGCTAAATCTCAGCCTCCGACGCGCTTTCAAATGGATATTCCTCGTTGCGAATGTTCAAACGCCTATCCTTGGTCTTGACTTCTTACGTCATTACGACCTACTCGTCGAGGTTAAGCGGCACCTTTTAGTCGACGGCCTTACGAGTCGCGCAGTCATTGGGACTTTGACCGACACCGCGTCAATCAGTCCCGTGTACGCGACTCAACTTAGTTCACCCGTCGGGCAAACGCTGCTCGATAGTTTTCCGCAGGCCTTCCGTCCTGCCGTCCCTTTGCCTTCCGCAACCGACGCCGCGACACATCACATCGTTACGAAAGGTCCGCCTGTGTTCCCAAAAGCCTTGAGCATGACCCCCGACAAGCTCAAAATTGCACGCCCCGAAATCGAGCACATGCTAGACTTAGGCATTATTCGCCCGTCTAAGAGACCGTGGGCGTCGCCTCTACACATGGTGCCTAAAAAGTCAGGAGACTGGCGTCCATGTGGCGACTATCGCGCTCTCAATAACGCTACCGTCCCCGACCGCTTCCGATTCCGCACATTCAGGACATCACGGCTAGCCTACGTGGCGCCCGTGTGTTCTCGAAGATCGATCTTGTTCGCGCTTACCACAAGATCTCTATAGCCGAGGATGACATTCCGAAAACCGCAGTCATCACGTCTTTCGGACTTTTCGAATTCCTGCTAATGCCCTTCTGTCTTCGCAACGCAGCTCAGACTTTTCAACGTTTCATAGACTCTGTCACGAGAGGTCTCGACTTAGTTTATCCCTATATAGACGACATCTTAGTAGCTAGTTCTTCCCAAGAACAGCACGCGGAGCACCTCAAGATGCTTTTCAATAGGTTAGCCTCTAATAGCATTACTGTCAACGCTGACAAACGCACCTTTTAGCAACCAGCTATTGAATTTCTTGGTCATCGAATTGACTAGCATGGCATACGGCCGCTCGAAGACCCAGTCAGCGCTAGTAAGGACTTTCCTGTTCCGACTACTTTGGCCGCCATCCGCCGTTTTAGTGGGATGATCAACTACTACCGTCGATTTCTGCCCCGTTGTGCCGACTTGCTCAGTCCAGTGACCGAGTTACTTTGTGGACGCAAGAACGGCAACGTCGAGTTGACGCCCGCTGCAACCGAGGCCTTCAAAGCCTGCAAAGAGGTCTTGGCTGAAGCTGTTATGCCTCAACATTTCGACCCCAAAGATCTACTCAGCGTTGCAGTCGATGCACCGGACACCGCCATTGGCGCCGTCCTGCAGCAATTCACTGGGGGATGTTGGAAACCACTCGCTTTTTACTCCCGACGCATACAACAGGCAGAAGTCAAGTACTGCACGTTCAGCCGCGAACTGCTGGCAGTTTATTCTACCGTCCGACATTTCAGGCACGTCTTAGAAGTTCATTCGTTCGTTATCTTCACCGATCATAAGCCGCTTATTTACGCCTTTCGAAATCAATCAGCTCGGCACTCGCCACTTGGGGTTCGTCAGCTGGAATTCGTGGCTCAATGTTCTACTGACCTCCGACACATTTCAGGTCAGAATAATGTCGTTGCTGAAGCTCTTTCGCACTTCTCCGCAACCCACACTGCTGGCCAGGCAATCGACTTATCTGCCATGGCTACCGCTCAACTAACCGACACTGACTGTCAGAACGTCAAACAAGATGCTTCTCTACGAATCACATCGCATCCACTGCCGTAATCTGATGGCACAACCTTGCGCGATACTTCTACTGGACCACCTCGACCCGTCGTTCCAGAAACCTTTCGACGTCTGGTTTCGACACACTTCACAAAAGAAAGCTTTTATGGTATAAGTTGTGGAAATCCAATGTTTTCAACGGACTTCCAAGACTGCGAATTAGTTAAATACAGCATCCATGAAAACAGGCGACCTAATTTTGACTTTTACCATTACAATGCGCTCACTGTGCAATATTAGACATAAGTGTGTGGAAATTTCTTTGTCTAATTACTTACCAAATTTGCAGCATTTGCTTAACCGTACGGGACTGTGTGATCGGAGGTCGGAAAAACTTGTGTGGTTTCGGTAGGTTCCGTGGTACAAATTGTACATAGCAACGGTTGCGTAGCGACATTGCCAAGGTGGATGAATGTGTAAAAATGGTAAACTAGGCTTGGGAAATGACATTGTATGTGAGTTACGATGCTGTAGAAATGATACCCTGTATTGGTGCATGTGCGAGTGTTTGTTTTGTTTTTTCGGTCGCCATACTGGTTTTTCCTGCTATCGCCATGGTTGTTGATGATAGTGAGCTGTTCAGGTCTATGGTTATTGGGAAGTATGAAAGTGTTGAGGACCTTGTGAAGCGGTTGGGACGTTTTCAGATTGCGACGGCGACTTGTTTTTCCCGTGCATCTTCCAAGTCTGCTGCGGCATACCATCGTGGAAGGAGGAAGCCGGTTCCCGATGGGGAATGCTGCGGTTACATCATGTACCGTTGCGTTCATCGTAAACGTTCAGCACCACGTGGCAAGCGGTAAGTTGTGTTAATCTTTTGCATCAAGGCTACTAACGCCTGTAGATACAAATCGTACGATTGCAAGGCTCGGTTCTCGGTGGTTTTGAAAGATGGGAAATATGTCGTGGGGAGTTACGTCATGACGCATAGTCATGATTTTCACGTGGGCAACCCATGGTTGTATGCAGCGAACCGTCGTCTTTCTCAGGAGCAAGAGAGGGAAGTTCTGCGTTTGATGGGTAGTTTCCATAGTACCCCGGATTTGCGTCATTTTATTTACTTGGAGTACGGAAAAAGGGTAACTCGTCTTGACCTGTATAATTTGCGGATTCGTCATCGGAATGGGAATGCTTGTGAAGTGTCAGATGTGGCAACGATGTTGCAAGGACACGGTGCGTGTCGGTTGGTGTCGGAGGGTAGTCAAATACGTTACGTGTTTTTCTCTCCATCGTTAGTTGGCGGCATTGTAAGTCGTTATGGTGAGGTGCTGTTATGCGATGCCACCCATCAACTGAATTATGGCGGCTACATTTTGTGGCACTGCATGCTGGTTGATGTCACCGGTCTGGGTATTTCCTTTTTCTACGCCCTATTACCGGATGAGACATCCTACAGCTATGGGCAGGCGGTTGAGGCGATGCGGGATATGGTGCCTAGCACCTTACGTTGCCACACGGTGGTGATGGATAAATGCGCCGCTCAGATCCGCGCGTTCAGACGATTTTATCCGAACGCGAAGGTGGTTTTTTGTCGTTACCACGTTAAAGTGGACATGTCTAGACGTTGCGGCCGCTTACGCGGGATCTCTGATCCGCGTAGAATGCAATTACGAGGTTGGCTGCATAACCTCATATACACACGTGACGCCTCGGTGTTTGACAGGATATTGAACGCGGTGGGCAGGGCGTCTCCTGAATTGTACCGTTATTTGTGCGCGACGTGGATTCCCCACGCGGACTCTTGGGCGGCGCACAGACTCAGGGATACCATTCTTTTTGGTTGCCACACCACCAACAGGGTGGAGAATGAAAACCGACATTTGAAGGAATACCTGTCGGAGAGGTCCTCCCTACTCACCCTGTTCAATTGCGTGGTTGATAGGGTCAACACACTGGTGCACCGAAGGAACAGCATACTAGGTAGGCGGTGCATGAGCGCAATTGCTGTTCCATCGGAGGTGTCCTCAGTGGCTTCCGTATTCTGCAAACTAAGCGACTTTGCGGGGGATGTTTTCATGGAGCATTTCCGTACGTCGACGGTTCTCAGTTGTAGGGCTGATGGGCCTTACTGGTTGGTTAACTGTCCTCGTTCGAGAGTGCGCCGAGTGTACATAACGCGGGGCAGTGAATGCGATTGTGAGTTTAATCGGCAGTGGCGGCTGCCATGTGCTCACATTTGTTATGTGGCGGCGCGTCACCCTCACGCTGCGCGGAACATACTCCATGGATGTCGCTGGATCGCACCCCGGCTACCTGCAGCAGCGTCATCGGAGTCCGTTGCGTCAGCTGAGAGGGTGCAGATTGTGCAACGTAACGCGGTGGATGGCGATGCAGTTGTGAACCGCACGTTGAAACTTCGCAGGACGCAGCATGTCTTAGGGGACATTGGCGCTCAATTGGTTACCTACGGATCGCAGAACTTCTCTGGTGCCTTGAATTACCTAAAAATGGTTGCCTTGCTGATGTCGAAGGACCCCACTTTTCAGTTGTATGGGCGAACGTCAAGGTGGCCTGTACCCCTTCATTTGGATACCGAGGAGAACGTGCGCATCTTATGCGGCTTTCCTACTGCGGGGACGTCTGCTGGTGGCTCCGCGTCTGCGGTATGCCCGACGTCGACAGGAGAAGCGGTTGGCCCTTCGCAAGGTACGCAAGTGAATGAGGCGGTGCGTGCGAATGAAACGGAAACACCTGTTCCATCGACATCCACAGGTGTGTCCAGGAAACGCAAATCGCCCCTTAAGTGCAGGGTGACAGAGGTTAGCCCGGATAAGAGTGCGCTAAGGGGCAAACGATTCCGTAACCTTCGCACTCGGACATCCACGGGCTACCGTGTTCCTGTGAGCCAGAGACGGGGAACTCAGGGCTTCCTTTCGGAGGATTTATGCGGAGTATGTCAGCAGGAGGAGGATGTTGATGGCCATGGAGATTCGGTGCAATGGGTCCAGTGCGACGCGTGCTCCCACTGGTACCACGCGTCCTGCGTGTGCTATTCCGGTTCGGACGAATTTCTGTGCTTCTCGTGCTCGTCCTAATGTAACCGTTACGTGCCTGATCGCGGTTGCATGGCACACCGCTCAGGTATGTACCTTATCTGTGCCCTAACGTTGATTGCATTTCCCTTACAGCATGCTGTGTTTACTTTTCCCCTTGATATCAACACCTTTTAATTTCAATGGAACAATGCACCGATAGATCTGCAGCACGGAGGAAACGTGCAACGGTAAGTTACTCCTAGTATTTCGTTTACGGACGGTCCTTTAGGCACCGTAATTCGGTTGTCATGTATGCAGCGGAAGTCAATGGCAGGGCATGTGCTCCTACGTACCGGTAGGTACCTAGATAAATGTGTGTTACGCATGCTTACAGGACGTAAAATTTCCTGGAAGCATCCTCGCAGTTATTTTCTTCCGTTGCTTCATGGTTGTCGTTTATCACGGGAACGCGTACACACGGAGAAATGTTATTCCATTTCGCGCTGTCATATGTCATCACAGGTAACAAATAGGATACATGTGTGATTTTGTGCTGCAGTTGAACCCACATGTAACGCCAATAGTGTGCTCATAAACGTGGGACACGGAGCCACCTTGGTCGCTTTGCCAACGCCATGTGAACCTGCCATGACAGCATTCCCCAGGTAAGAAATCCGATTTATGTGCAAAGGTGCTTTACAGTGAAGCCCACATGCACCGCCCATAGGCTGCCCATTCTCTGGCGCCAATGAGGCACCTCTGAGGGATCCAACACCGCAATGTTAACCTGCAGTCGGAGTTGCTCACAGGTAATGAAAGCCATCCTGCTGTCATGTTGTATTATAGTGAAGCCCACATTCACCGCCCAATGGTTGTCCATTCACTGCCGCCACCTACCTGACTCCGACGCATCGCCCACCGCCATCTTAACCTTCAATCGCACTTGTTCACAGGTAAGGGAGGCCATGCTTCTGTAATGTTGCTTTACAGTGAAGCCCACATGCACCGCCCAATGGTTGTCCATTCACTGCCGCCACCTAGCTGACTCCGACGCATCGCCCACCGCCATCTTAACCTTCAATCGCACTTGTTCACAGGTAAGGGAGGCCATGCTTCTGTAATGTTGCTTTACAGTGAAGCCCACATGCACCGCCCAATGGTTGTCCATTCACTGCCGCCACCTAGCTGACTCCGACGCATCGCCCAACGACATGTTAACGTGCAATGGAAGTTGTTTACAGGTAAGGAGAGCCATTCTGCGGTGGTTTACTTTTTAGGCCATCCGTTTCGCCAAGCCCCTGTTCATGCGTGATGAGTGCAGAACTTCCTTCTCACACCCGGAGGTGTGGTGTCCGCTGTATCGCCATGGGACCACCGAGCACCGATGAATCACCATGTCACCTTGCAAAGTGAGTGCCGTATTCCATTACAACTTACCGTAGCCTTCCCCACGTTGTATTGCAATTGCCACGGTTTGCCGCGGGCTGGGGATAACAAGTCGCCGTCACATCTGTATGTGGTGTAGGTCCTCCCCTTCTTACCTTTTTACCGTTGTGAACGACCCAACGGCCCTTTTCAGGGCCACCCCTGTTCTATGTCCCCGCGTCTCCCCTACACGGGTTGCAGCACGGGAAACATACGTTCAGAGGTGGGGTCGGTAACCGTCTGAACTTAAATTGTCTCTCACCATGCACTTCACTTTATGTGAATCTTTGACACAGCATTGCGTATTGTGCGCGTATCAGCCTTCGGTAACCATTTCTCAGTGTTCACCCTTGGTGGGTTCAGAGCTAGATGCACGCTCACTCACCTAGCGGTGGACATTTCTGAATGGTCCAAACGTCCGTCAGGTTTATACCAACTGTTTTGCCGATGTAACGAACCATTGACCTACACCGCCGCCTATCACGTATAACGTTAACCTGCTTCGATGTTTCCCCACCTTTCACAGTGCAGTAAGTCACGGCTGGGCATTAAGTAAGGAGCGAGTACTCATTACATGAACGTCCGTCCTTGGGACGCTTACGCTGACTTATGTTTGATCTGCGGTAGCCATGTAACAAAGGTTCCATGATTTGGAGAACGGTGAACGGGAGGAGCGCAGGCATACAATACAGCTTTTATATAGTTCATCGCATAATGAAGTAAGACGCACCGACGGGCATACATTGAAATGAGGCTGCGGAGGTAACAGTGTACAGCTAATAAAGCCTGAGGGGGGAAAGCAAGTGGCAAAGCGAAACTACAACTACTTACGTGTCGCAAAGGCGAAAGTGACACCTGTGCGTTTCGCAAGGAAGCACGTGCCGGGATTACCCCGTAAAGAGAGAGTAAATGCAGTAGACGTCGGTGTGGTTGATGTAGTGCGGAATACGTAAATGAACGCATAGAAAGGTGACGTTGCGCGTGCACTACTTGAGTTGTTCGCTGCACAGAAGAGAGCAAGTGTTACATGATGCAAGGACAGCGAAGGCGAGAACGGCAAGCCTTCAGTGTGGTTGATAAATAGTTCTGAACGTTGATGCTGAGACACAGCAACGCGCAGGTAGTCACATTATGTTACCGTGGTAATGAGTTACTACGAAGGTAGCTGGAGATAGCGATAAGCCGGTAAGGAAGGTGAAGAACAATTACTTAATTGTTACAGACAGGTAAGGGGCAGCTGCGCTGTTATCAATCAGCGGATGTGCACTGACCTGATGACATACTGAGGCGGATGCTTTCCCGTGATATAGCAACTTCGACGCACACACGGAGTGCTCACACTCACCTGCTCCACTATGTCATTGTACATCAGCGTGATATGCTTGAAGTGAGCATGAAAGGGGTACTGCGTGCAGCTGAGTGTGGCACTGAACCGAAGTGGGTGCGGACCGAACTGTACGTATATTTACGTGAATCGATGTATTGCACTCCCGCGGTGAATCTGCGTAAATTTATTAATCTTTCCATCGGTACTGTGGCGAAACGTACTGAGCTGCATAAGGAGATGGCTGCACGCCTGTCTGGTGATGTGGACTGCCATGTTTAATATATGTCATCATGCAATGATGTCTTGTACTTTTGATGCCGCTTGTGCTTACGGTGTTCCTGTGGAGCACCGTATTCATGGTGGGTTGCTGAACATCCGTCGTTTCG